TTACTTTTTAGAGCTAATACATAGAGCTAATATATGCATCAGTAATTTGTGGCGCGATCATTAGAAAGCATAAAATGCCTATGCTGACACTGACAATCACAACAGGCTGGCTTCTATCAGAATGAGCAACATTTTCACTGATTTACTGTAATGTGATCAGGCTGTAGCTGAATGACTGTTTCTGAGGTGCAATAATGAAACTGAATCAACTTTTATTTTAAAGCTTGTTCTAAAGATCGTTTTAATTTCAGCGACTGCATTCCTTTCAAGTTTGAATTTGACTGGATTTTTATTTGTTGTCTAAGCCTTGGATTAAAGACACAATATAACAGGTGTATTCCTGATTATTCTTTTAAACAGACAAGCTCTTATAAAACAGCACATCCAATTTCAGAAAGCTCTTTTGTTAAACGAGCTTCAATAAAACTAAAAAAAAAAACGGTTACGTGATTGACAAATGCTTATTGTTTACATTGTTTATTGGATCAGCGAACGTCTTTCTGCTGCTGCAGCAAGAAGCTCCACTCTGACCTTTAAAAGTTAATATTCCAGACTTCGGCTTCACAGCTGCACAAACCAAACAGGAAGCCCCCCTAACATTTCAGCTCTTTTATCTGCCTTTTCCTGCTGCTTTGCTCAGCTGCACGCATGAATAAGTCACAGCAACGTGTTTATGTATAAAACATTTTAATTATATTACAATGAGACAACACACAATACCTTCAAGTGTTTGCTAAAATGTAGCCAGCACCAGGTACTCGTGTAGACGCGCCCATACGCACAAAACAAAAACGACAAAAAAAAAAAAAAAATAGGAACTTAATAGCATCTTCTGTATGCAAATTACACATCCTCTATAAAGGAACATATTTCACAGGTCTCTGGCACAGAACTCTCCCTCCCCTGCTCAGCACGCCGGTCCCCAACTGTTTCTCCAGCATCCTCTACTAAACCTCCACCCAGAGATCCTCCTGCTGGTGCGGCTCTGGAGGGTTCTACCTCTACGTGCGAAGATGTGATGAAGGCTGAAAAAGGGTGGAAAGCTGACTTAAAGCCTATCGGGTACTTAAAGCTATCCATGTTGTATTACGAGACACAAATTCTTAATTAATCATGGAAGGAATAAAAGTGACCATTTGGCAGGATTAATATTTCTAATGGAAGTCATTGTGTGGATTTTAAAAGCAGCAACAGATTCTGATCTCCGATCAAGGTGTGCTGATGTCATTTTGTCTGCGCCTGTTGATGTTTCCAAACCTACACGCGTTGCAGAAAGTGCACTATACCAAAGCTAATCTCTGAGCAACAGTAACACAAAAGTAGGCATGGGCCAGTAAAGATATTCTCACGATAAAATGTTAAGAAAAAAACCCCAGAAAAATATAAAACATCTAATTGTGTTAGTCTCAACGCAACCAGCGCTTTCTATCTCATGTGAGAAGCAGCACAACCACCTGACGAGCAGGTGGAGCTGAAGAAAACACGGCTCACTCCAGAGCCTTATTTTGGCATTTCATTTAAAGTGCCTTTCAATTACAGATGCACTGATAAATCATCAAGATGTCGGAATCGACCAATCTCCACCCAATATCAATATTGTTAAAAGGACTTTTTAAAAATCCGTCATCCAGAGCCTCTGAAGTCGCCTTTAAGGACAACATTTCCTAATGTTCTTTTGGTTACAGAACTACAACCTCCACCACTCACAAATTTTTGTTCTTTATGTTGCAGTCCTTTAAGTTTTTTTTTTTTCTTAATTAAATTGGCAGGCGATTCCTGATACCTGGTCAGAAAAAGCCCAAATTGGTGCATTTCTACTTTTATCCTCCTTTCAGTTTTTTTTGTGGTCTTGAAACTCTGAACCTTTTAAAACCTCAATACCTGCAACTGGTCCATGCCTACACAGAAGCCGTCATAAAACTTATCTTTGCTTGCATATATATATATATATATATATATATATATATATATATATATATATATATATAGATTTATTCATCGGATACAATCTCTGCTTAGAAAAGGCACATCTTTACAGGAACCTCCTTCCCCCTTTTAAAACTAAACCAGAATGTTGACGGCTGCTCAGTAACCACTCAGCATGACTGTGTGTGCTATTTCTCTTTCCAATGACAGAACTGAAACATCATAATCTCGCATCCGGCTCTCAATTCGCCCCGATCCCTGCTGCGTCTCATACAGGAGGTTCTGTGCGAGAGAATCATCCCATGCCTTCAATGATAGTATACTCAGTTGTTCATTTTGACCAACATGGATGCCTTTTTTGTTTGTTTGTTTGTTTGTTTAGTTCTTTGCAACAAACAGTCATGTACAAATGCTCTGACATGAATGTAAACTGTTTATGACCAAAACAAAATAAATTTAACCTGGGGTTGGGTTTCTTCTTCTTTTTTTCCCTCCTGCAGTGTATGGAGAGAGTGCAGATAGGAGGTTTAAAAAAAAAAAAAGTGTTGGTCACCATAAATGCACCACAGAGTGAAAGCAAAATAAACCACCTGCTTGTCTTTAAAAATCCCTGCCCCGCCCTGCCCACCCTCCCTCGTCTGAAAGCACAAGATGGTCATATTGCTGTTAGTCAAGAAGTCCTCCTGATCGATGGGTAACACTAGTTTTTTTTTTTGTTTGTTTTTCTTTTTCAGTTTGGGACGGACCACCAGGGAGCTCGGAGGATAACACCTTAAGCTGCCATTGATTGGATTATTCTTTTATCGCTCCTCTCCTGGGTGGCTCCCGCAGAACAAACATTTAGTCAAAATACAATAATTGTTAAAAAAAAAAGAAAAGAAAAAAAAATGAAGAAGCTTCAAGCCCAGACGTTTAGAGCCCCCTGCTGGCGTCCGTTCGGTGGGGCTGTGGAGCGAATAGAAGCTGCCGTGGGAGTTCACCAGTGTGTGTGTGTGTGTGTGTGTTATCTTGTTTGTTTGTTTATTTCCATGACAGAGGTGGCTGGGGGTTGGGGGCTCCTGGACAGGGTGCAGGATGCGGCGGTGGCTCCAAACAGAAGCCAAAGGGGTGGCGGGGGCTTTGGGGGGGGGGGATACTGACGTCATCACAATACTCCTCTTCTTGTGGAAGTGTGGAGAAAACAAGGGGGAGGAGGGGGGAGTGTGACCTGAGTTGGGGAGGTAACGAGGAGGAGGAAGAGGAGAAGGAGGAGGAAGGCTCACCAAGGCACAGAATGACAGCAGGAGAGTCACCCAAGAGAGAGGGGGCCAGTGTATGAGCTCCCCTGCCCCCACTCTCCCTTCAACAAGCCTGGCCTCCTGTCTGTCTGTCTCTTATATAGATATATATTTATAGATATAGATAGATAGATATACTCACTCTTTTTTTGACTTTTTTGCAGCTTTAAAGAACATTTAGGAAAATATAATACAAAACTCAGTACAAGAAATATAGACTACACTAGCTGGTTTCACTTTAAGTGATGAGTAGCTTCTTTTCTTTCTGGTTTTTTTTTTTCTCCTTCTTCTATTTTTAGCAGTTTTGTATTTTTATTTTTTTTGGTCAGACCCACCTGCCATCGTGGACGAGCTGCTTTTCTGTTTTGTTTTGTTTTTTTGTTTTGTTTTTAAAGTGCCAAGCTCTACAGACTGCAAAAAGGCCGGGGGGGGGGTGGGGGGGGGGGGCCGGGGGGGTGGCTGTGGCTGGGTGGGGTTGAGTGAGGGAGAGGTCGGAGGGACTTATTGATTACTAACACCGTCAGAGAGCAACAGGAGCGCCTCGTCCGTCCATAACCACTATTGTGCATCAGTTATAGTCAAAGCCTGGGGGGAATTCACCCAGAGAAGCCAAGAGGAGTAATAATTATAATAATAATAATAAAAAGGTAGGAGAAAGCAAAGAGAAGATTATTACTTCTGCTGGAAAATCTGAAGGATTAGTTTGCTAAGTTCTCTATCTCTTAACAGAACAAGAGCAGTTTCCCACTGATTTGTCAGCTTTGACCTGTTAATCAGATGCTGTCAATTCAGGCGAAGCGACAGAGCTGCGGAGAATTTTCCAATTCGTATGGTTAGGTGGCGCTGTGCGGACGGGCAGAGGTCAGTTAGTGAATCCGACGCAAAGGTCAGCTTACCATCTAAGGGTTAAAGAAACAAAACGCAACATCAACATCTCCCAATAACAATAGCTCAGTGGTCCTCCAGGATCACTTCAAAACTTAAGAGGAAGCCTCTTATTTGCTACATCAACTAGCTACTGAGAAGGGAAAAAAATAAACGAAACACAATGTTTGGGTTTTTATAGTTGTGGGGCAACTCCTTCCTTCCTTCCTGTTTTTCTCTCTGAATTAGTAGTCCATCCACACCATCTGGCGGTATAGTGTAGTGGTCAGTAGTGTGGAGTTAGTGGTTAGGCGACCCAACCAGAGGGAGACGTGGACAGTAACTGGATTATCTATTTACACTGTTTCTGCTCCTGCAGCTCTGATGTTTTTCCTGTCATTTTCAACTGACCATAAAAAGAGGTTGTGGGTTAAAAAAAAAAAAAAAAAGTCAATGTGTGTTGCATGCTTATGGCAACCTGGCTGTGCATTCAATGTGATGAAGACGAGCAATAAAGGGTCGATGCATTTGGACTGGTCAGTCCAGGTTGTGATGGTGCTCTTAATGTGACCTTTTAAGGGATTTGGAAAAGTATTCACACCCCATAAAGTTTTTCACATTTCTCGCATTACAATCATAATCTTCAATGTAGTTTGTCGATCATTTCATAGCATTTGTCAGCAGAAAGCTTCAAGATGGCTATAAATCTTTAGCAACAGTCATTTCTCTATGTAATGGTTGACAAACAGAAGTGCTTTTCATTTGTTTTTGTTTTCGGTTTTTTTTTTTTTGCAAAGCCTTGTCTGAATACTTTTGCCTCAGGAATTTAAATGAAACTTGCTTTTGCATTCAGTGATTAACAGGTCAAAGCTGTTCTTCACTAAGTAATTATCTTTCTAATTATCAGAAAGAAAAGCCACAAACTCTCCTCTGCGCTGTCTGAGCCTGCAGCAACACTAGGTTAGAAGGGGTCGTGGGGGGGCAGGATGCGTTGGGGGTAGCGGGCTGCCAGGAAGGGCTCGGCTACCATGTCAGCCTGCAGAGGCGTGGCCTGGAACAGGTGGAGGCCGTACCGCTGTCGTGGACCGGTCTGACGCAGGTAACAGGCGGCGTTGGGGGCGGGAGGGAATCAGAGAGGGCAAAGCAAAACGCTGGGAGGAACTGGTTGGTTGAGCGACGGAAGGCGCCTAACAGTGGTGCGGCTGCAGTCTGTGGGAATGTGCGGCTGTGTAGCTGGTGTCGCTGGAGCTGCTCTGGACGCCGTAGTGGTCCTCCTCTTCGTCTTCGTCCTCCTCCTCCTCCCCGTCGCTGATGCTGTCTACGCTGTCCACCTCGCCCGGGGTGAACTCCATGCCCTCGATATCCACCTCTGTTTGGACAAACACAAGGAGACAGCAAGCAGAAATGTTGATTTCCGCCGCGCTGTGACATATGGCGCACCTGCTGATTAAACCTGGATTTGGGCTGCCTTTAATTCGGAGCAAACAAGGAGATCTTTGTGCTCCAGAAGGTAAATCCCCCATGCATGGATAAACAACTGCAAACGTGTTTATCTTAACGCAGGATTAGTAAAAACACTAAACTGCCCAAAGCCAAGACTTTCAGGAAACTCGGCGACACCAGACTCTTATTAGCAGGTAATCCTGTAGCTTCCCATTCTGGAATGAAGCTATAAAGCGGCGTGAAGATCCAACACTGACAACATTCTTATCTCTAAACACCAGCCCACCGAAGCAACTGGTTCTTCTGACTTCTCTTGAGATTTGAAATGGTTTTGACATATAAAACCAGTCTGACCTCAGACTGCCTGTTATTTCTGCAGCGGACAAGACAACTCGCTCCAACGCACAGCGGGCTGCATGACGCAGTAGCTGAAATGCCTCTTTATCTGTAATCTGAGGTGTTAACCTTTAACCCCTGGGGGACTAGCCTGCTGACAGGGTTGGGGATAATTGCCTGATCAGGCTGGACATTTTAGAGTGCGGCTGGGCGCAGCCATGAGGCCGCGTCACTTCATCGCATGTGGAGGACAAAAGTATTCATCCCCTCTGAACAGTTTCACATTTTGTCATGTCTGTTTTGTACAGATTATACGTGATTAACCAACAGAAAGGGGATATAATGCATGGTGTTTAAACTTTTCCACAAACTTGCAAACTAATTGTCTTTTCTTTAGGAGTGCCTTGTCCTCAGCAGCCCCGCAGCATGATGCTGCTACCACCATGTTTCACAGTTGTGCTGATGGTGAATTCAGGTCGGTGTGCACTGTTGGTTTTCTTCCATGTGTCGAGTTTTACACGAACATAAACAACCTAAAAACGGGGCTTCTGGTAGTGGCACAGACACAATGAAATATCCTCTGGCTTCCAGAAGCTGCTGCTTAAAAGCTCCAACTTTCTCCGATTTCCTCTGACGTGTCAGCGTACCTTGCTCTGAGTCGGTGGAGATGGTGGAGCCCATGCTGTCAGTGCGAATGCGCTCCACGGACCCCGACACGGAGAGCTGCTCAAGGCGCCGTTTGAGGTAGCGGTGCTCTCGCTGAAGCTGCTCCTTCACATTTAAAGCCTTTCTGTCCTGTTCCTCCAGTTTCTGCAGACAAAACATTGAAAAAAAAAAAAAGAAAAAAAGAAACGGCAAAGAGTGAGCGGAGAATTTCATCTCGGCCCAAACATTCCCTCCCCGTCAGATCTTCTTTTAACTGAATGCATGATCACCAATAAAATTGTGTTGTGAAAGTGGATTAAAGGAAGCGAAAATGCAAATATAGTACAAAAAAGGTACATGGAATTAGTGGACAGTCTTGCTGTGGATATGCTTTTTGTTTTTTATTGTGGCTGCTGTTGAATTGTGAACAAAAACCTTCATGTAAACAGGTTTTGGAGAGCAGCTGACAGAAATCTGCCTCCGCTCCATATTTATGCCAAAGGACAAATAGGAAGTCATGAAATGGGATCGTTGTTTTTGCAAAAATACACATTATCCGGCTGCGAAACTGTGAAGTAATTTAACATTAAAGGTTGTACTTTCAGCACATCTTTGCCACAGTTACCATTAAGTGAGGTGGTTGCCATCATTTAGTCATCATTGCAGCTGCAAATTTTACTTTGCATCTGCAAACATCCACACCTCGATCAAACTACTAAAGCTCCACACAAACAACTTTAATGAGTGTAGCTACGAAAGCAGAGAGATTTCCAGGTCAAAAAAGCAAAAATAAACATGAGCTTCACAGTCATAGTCAGACTCTGTAAGAGGTTATATTTTGCACTCGTTTGCATCTGAAAGTTTTCGGTGGTGAATCAAAGCCACCCAGAGCCCCGAGGCCTGCTATGAGATGAGAAGGCTCAACGCAGTGACGAGAATCAGCGCGCGTTGTCTGAGCTCGAAAAACAGGAAATAAGGGGTTAAAACTCTTGACGTTTGAATTTTCCACCCAACCACAGTGTTGCTGCCTGTAAACAGCACGATCAGTGCAACATGACCTAAACTGTACCCACAGGTCGTCTTCTGCACCCTCACAGTCCGTGCACCAGCAACATTTTGTAAGCGTTTCTGTGTTTCTGCTCGTTGTGCACAGAGCGGATCCTCGTATCGGCGAGCTGATCTCGCCATGAACCTTAGAGGAGACGCTTCCAAACATTATATCAACTTCTCATCTACAGATCAGCCACCCAGTTCTCTGTAAAGTCCACTTTGTTGACTCATTTGTGGAACTTATTTTTCTTCCTTTCACTGTTGATTTTTTTTTTTTTATCTGATTGGAAGAATGCAAAAACAATGGCAAAAAAAACCAAACAAACAAGAAGAACAAGGATGTTCTTGATTTTCTGCATATTCGTTTAAATCAAATGTGCTTGTACAAAATACATGCACCATTGTGTGATAGCAACAGGGTCTTGCAAAAGTATGTATCGTATACTGTTAAACCACAAACTTGCACAAAAACAGGGCATAAGTCTGAGCTGAAATTAAATAGACACTCGGTTTTTACATGATTTTAAGAAACAAATATCTAAAAAGAAAAAGTGTTCATTCAGAAACTAACTGCATCCTGAGCAGAGTCAATAAACACAGGGACAGTTTTTTGTTTAGCTGGATTTCATTTAGGGTAATCAGAATATAAATGGAGCTGAATACGCATCAATGTTTTTCATTTTTACATTGTTTTTTTTTTTGAAGCATAAAGCAATTTATTTTATTACTATTACACAATTAAGTGCTGCTTCTTTGATGGTCAGTCATATAAAAAGCCAGGACAAGGCGCAACATTTAACTGGTAAAACCCACAAGTGCTGATCTTATCAATATACCTGTCCAAAAAAGCACATTTGACATTTTTGTGAGATAAGAATAAACCGCACAAGTTGTGGTTCGGAACAGTAGCAACCAGCCTTCGACCACAGACACTTTTTGTTGTTCTTTTCTTTGTGGTGGTGTGCCCTTTAAGTACCTTAATGTGCATTTTGGCCCTTTTCAGCAGGCTCAGGGTGGTGTGTCTCGTGCTGTCTGGACCCAAAGGCACCAGCTTCTTCAACTGCTCCAAGTAGAGTCGTAGCTTGGCACGTCTGCAAAGCACACGAGAACAAAATGAGTCAGCACCTGTCAAGAATCATGAGTGCTCCCACACACAAGCACACAAACACAAACCCACGCAGACACACACGGGTGAAGAGGATCGTCCTTAAAACTGCAGAAGCAAACGTTGCTCCATGTGTGCTCTGACCGTCACGGCTGATGGAGAACACTTCCTAGTTGGAACACGAGACCTTTTCAATGCCTCAGGCGTATTGGAGTCTCAGTGACAACACTGGTTTTAAAGCTCGAAAAGTTTGCTTAAGAACAACAATGAGCAAATTTGGATTCGTGTCCAGTTACAAAATATTATATATTTACGTAATAAATAGTTCAAACAACAAATATTATTTTTTTGTTTAATTTTCAATGTCTTGCACTTTAGCTTGAGATGGTTTCGAGAATTAACTTATCCTGAAGTAAAATAAACGATTCAATAAATACACTGAAAAGCAATTGTCACTGCAATATTAATGTGCACTGTATCGTAAACACAAACACTGCCTGGACACAATGCGTGATGGGCCGTTATAAGTCACTGATGAAGCTCCGCACAGCAAAACCGATCCAGTCAATCCGATGGACGTTTGGCTGCACTTGTTGGAAAACATAGATGCTAAAGATAACAGAGAGGTGTGGACACTGTGATGACATGGAAGCAATGAAGACAGAGAAAGATGTGGGTTCAGTCATGTTTAGCATTGAAAACTGATATTGAACAATAATATTGCAACTGTGCATTTACCTATTGCTGAACACACGAAAGGAGTTCAATTTACCACATGTTTATTTGATATTTTTGCATATAATGAGAAAGAAAATCAAGGTTACAAACAACCTTTAGTCACACTGACACTTTTAGTCAAGGTTCCCACATCATAAGAATACCATACAACTACTTGCACAATTTTCTTTAGCTTTTTTTATGTAAACTATCGGGATACTGTTTTTTTTTTTTAGAAAGAAAAAAATTGTATTTACTTTGTTTTCCTAAAACAGACAGCAATTAATTCCTGCTCTCTTAATCTAAATCTTCCAGTCTGTTAGTTAAACATAACCACTGAGGGAAGAGTCCCTGCTAGGCCTCCTACAGATAGAAGACTGTAGGAATGGGGAATGCGGCTAATGTACGCTAGCGATCCTTAAATGTCTTATAAACAGACAAAGCAGCAAAACCTCAAAACCACCTACACTCAAAACTATGAGCAGCACTCTTTCCACCCACCTACTCTCAGAAAAACGATCGGTTAACGTTTAAATATCAGCGCGAGTATGACAAAACTTTGACAGATAAAATGTATTTATTGTTTCTTGTGGCTGATAGTATCAACGAGGAACAGGTGGATCAGGATGCAAGACTCTCGTCAAACACCCACACAGTCTCAGTATGAGGGCTTTTATTTTCGGTTTCATTCATCTTATTCATCTTAGTCTTTTGGTTTTCCTCACCGTGGTGTCACCCGTCTTCAATACACACCGAAATGTCAAACCTGCTCAAATAACAGCCTGCAAAGTCGCAGGGAAAATGTGGAAAAAACACTGTTGACCAAAATGGCGTCAATGATATGATGAACATCTGTTCTGGTGAGTTTAATGCTGATCCGACATGCAGATTGTGACCCTAGAAAACTCAGCATCCAGTCCAAAGCCCTGCAGGCCAACAGCCCCGTACCCCTGGGTAAACGGCTCTCTGGATGCACCATCGGGATGTTTATTTAGGTAATAGTGAGGACAAATCGGATTTAATCTGTGTATGCGAGAGGAGCTCTTTTTCTCTTGACACTGTATATGATTCACAACGTCGACTGAGCCGGCGTGACCCCTCTCTCTGTTCTGGGTTCATTCAGATTTGTTCATGAAAGCCTTTCAACCCTCCGTTAATCAAGCAGATCCGTGAACAGTTTCTTTGTTCTGGGCTCTCCGTCCCCTCCTTTCTCTCCAGCTCCTTTGGCTAACTCCAGCTGGACGGTAAACAAACTCCTAACAATGTGAGATCTGCTCTGACCATCACAATAAACCTAATCAGAGCAACCAAACTCGCTGGGGCGAGTTGAAGCACGAAGCTTCAGCAATTACAGCCGCGTCGCCGCTGCAGAACGTCTCGTCTTCCCTTCAGGAAGGGCGTCACCTGCATTTTCCACAGGACCCACAACATAATAAACTTCCTGAACGAGAGGGACGTGTTTATTTCTGAGGGATCTGGTGAGAGCTTTAACGTGTCGGAAATATGAACGAATCCTTTCTCCCTGCAGGTGTATGGAGGTGTTCCACAAAAGAGGGCATGTGAAAGTGCTCCAGCTCTTTTAATCCCCACAAACTCTCGCTCCTGGGAAAGAAAAACTAGGACCGAACCCCTTCAACTCCCTGCTCCACCCTGCCAATACCAACACGCCCTTAATCCCACTGGAAAACAAGTGTCCTCTGAGGTCAGGGGCGGGGGCCATCCCCGGCCCGCTCCAGTCCAGCCACATGAAGCGCTTGGTCTACAGCCAGGGGAAGCAGGCAGGAAGGAGCAGGGGGTCTGCAGCAGAAGGGTGGGTTTTTTTTTTTTTGGGAACAGGAGCGGTGTCTGAGATGGTGGACGACTTTTTCTGGGGTTGAAAAGAAGGGCTCTTTCAGCGCAGTGTGCTCAGCTGCACCAAGCATCCTCCAAAGGGTAATTTGAGCCAACCGTCATAGACCCCCACCTCAGTCTCAGCTTCTCTTGTGATAAAATAACAAAATTAAGGCGTTTCCCCCCCCCCACCCCCCAAATAGTGCGCCTGGCGATCCAGCTCCCCATGTAGAAAACTTTGCTTTTCATTTCTGCGCCAATGATTTGTTTTCTACACTTGAAAAAGCATCATAACCTCACAAATATTTTCAGATTTTGTCACATCACAACAACCTTTAGTGGATTTAATTGCGACTGACAAACCTAGTGCAGAATTATGAAGTGAAAGGAAAATCATACCTTTCACAAAAGTTTTCACAAATAAAAATCTGAAAAGTGTGGTGTGCTGCAGCTAGAAGGTCCTAGCCTGGAGACTTTCTGCATTGAGTTAGCATGTAAATGTTCTCCTAAGCTACTCAGGCTTCTCCCCACAATCCGCCTTTGAGAGTTCATCTCTACCAGCTTTACACGTCTTCAGTCTGGAATTTATCCACAAAAATAACTAATGCACCACTCAATTTGATAGGTGCAATTTGTAGCATTCATCTTATTGGTTAGAACACCATGCTGAGACATGATAATTATTCAGGGCACTCCTCTTTGGCAAACAATCACCTTGTTAATGCAATTATGCTTCCCCCCCCCTCTTTAACTGCAATATTTTGTGATCAGATTATTATTATTGTTTTTTTTTTTTTTTTTTTTTGCAACAGGATGTTCATTCCAAAGCTGCTTCACTTAAATATTCAAATATGATCTTCCCTTATTTTGTCTGTTATGCACATTTGATAAGGCGCTCACTAGAGACAAGCTGGCGCTAAATATCACAAAACATAGAAGCCGATCATGTTCATGATTTTCTACCGTCCCTGCAATCAAGTGTTGGGAACAAGCACAAACATACAGAAGTTGAGGTGTAAGGCTGACAAAATCTAAATGTTTCCTTCTCCCAGATGACCGACAGACCCGCCCATCAGGACACGTCCGCATGTACACAGTCAACAATAATCACAACACTCTTGCTAAATTAGTACATTTGTCAATATTTTTAGCGATTTTTCAACCCCCTGGAAAAAAACAGCAACTGTTGGTGCAAATACAGTAACTTTCTCTGCTATTGGAAGACTTTGGCGACAACACATGTAAGCAGTAATCATACTGCAGTCACAGCAAGCAGTGAGTGCTTCCATGAGTCTGAAAGACTGGGACACTGAAGGTGTAGTGTGATCTTATAATTCCTGACAGTGGTAGTTCATAAAAATAATTGGTGGCCAAAATCAAAATCTGCAATCGGTGCACCCCTAGTGGAAATGTTAGGGAAGTACAAGTATTTCTGCATCATCGTTACAACGCGTGCAATCCTCTCTTTTAAACCCTCTACATAATGTGCTCATAGTTTGAGTTTGTATTCTCTGATTTATTATCTTACAGGCTTATTAAAAGCTAAATTTAAGGACAATGTAAAGTAACGATGGACTGCCATGTGCTACACTGAAGAAGACTTTGTATATGTCTGCATGAGAGAAGAAGGGAAAAAAAAGGAATCATTTAATCTCTGGTTTGAGATAAATTCCCCAAATGACTATGAAACAGCAAATTATGTATCTGTTATGATTCATTTACCTTAATGTGTTGAGAAGATTGCTGTAGCTATAGTTTCCCCCAATGTTTCCAGCTTTACACACTGACAAATGCACTGCAGTCACTGTTGGGAACATCTTTGTTTAGGGAGAGCGTTGTGTTCCTGATGCATATCAACAGGACAGGATCTCGTTCAACCCCGCATTGTGTCTCTGTCAGCTCCCTTCGCAGCAGCATGCGCTCCCCTGTCACGAGACGCGGCGTGTTTTTCCTCAAGAGAGCACTACTGATTTGCGGCGGGGACCAGGACCCTCACTCCCTTGTTGTTTGTTATTCCTGAGCTGAAGTCACGCAATGTTTATCAGATCGTCAGAAACAGCCGTGCCAGGAGAGGCATCTGATGAACGTGATCACCGTGTCCCTGAGAGTTTTCACTGTCTGACCTGTGTGGTTTTGAGTCAACAAATTTTCCAATTTAGGTTCAGATCAGGACGCTCTCTGATAAAAACACAGCATGAGGCAGTTTGTGGCAGTTAGTTAGGGCCGGCTCTGAGTTCAGAGAAGTTAAAACTCAAAGAGTTTTAACTGAGAATGAGGAGGAGGATGAACTTCTCCGACAGCCTCAACGTGGCTCTGTGGTGCGTGAAGGAGGAGGCTCTGTGGTGCGTGAAGGTTTTATTGTATGACAGAGACAATACACAAAACTCACCCTGTTTTCAATCTGACCCTCCTGGGAAATGTTGGGTTTATTGTATTTGA